AGCTGCTCAGATATTCCAGAGTAGTTTAAAACTGGGCTTGTCAAACCTGGAGGATATATTTTAGAGAACAATCCTCTATCATCTAGAGGGATGGGGAAGTTAACTTCCTTAACTAGCTCAGCTTTTCAGCCCTTTCCATTTTCATTGCAGAAGAGAGTTGGACGTCCTCCTGTAGATCATCTTCCCTGCTCATTCCCAATGCCCTGTTTCTGGATGCAATGAAAGGACCCTCTTGACCAAAGCTTTGGGATCTCTGCCTTAAAACAGTATGTTTGGGAGTAGGAACAATAAATCCCAAGCCCTTTGGACAGGACCTAATCTGCCTCAAGAGCTTTTGGGCTCTGTCCATCTCTATACAATGAATTCTCCTGGAGTGCTGGACTGGAACTGGGCGAAGTCTGGATTTGAAGGCTAGCTTACCTTAACTCCAAGTTCTGTGTTCACAAGATCATTCACACTAACCCTAATGCGCCCTTGTAGTTTGTCTGAGAAATGCTTCATTAGGAAGCAGCTTCACAGTTTTCCTCAAAGTCCAATTTGATTTTTGAGCCTCGCACAAGCCCTTTTCTGAATGACTCATTGCTAAGGATCCTGTTTTTCCCTGATTAACTGCCTGCCCGCCTCCCCACCCCCCGCCCCCGATTTTTGGTTAAAAAAAGTAACCCCAAATCCACATTTATATATATATATATATATATTAGTGGTGTTTCATTTACATCACAGAAAAAATGTGGATTTGGGGTTACTTTTTTAACTGAAAATTGGGGGGTTTTTTATCAGAAAAAAACAGGATCCTTGCTTATTACTTTAAAATCAGTTTTAAGGACAGCACAGAATAGATAATTTACAGTGCAATTCATATAAATCTAAAGTTCTACTTTACTGGGGTCAAAGTGGGACCAGTGCCTTCCTACCTAATGCCTTTGCCTGAAAAGAAGAGAAACTTTGAGCTTCCAAGCTTACATGCACACACTTTCCTTTTTCCTTTTTTCCAAGTCCCTCCCTATCAGGTGTTGAGTTACTGGTGAAATGCACACATGCTTAATTTGAAATTCAATCACTACAGAAATCCAAAGCTGAGATTCCATTTCTATTTATGCCATTATAAGCAGAGTATTGCTAATATCAGAATCTGCCGCAGGCGTGTTATGGATGTGACTCTAGCTAGCTATACTAGCGCCCCTCTTCCTCCTGGCAGTATAATTCTGAAAAACTGTTAAATTCGAAAAGAATGGAAATACTCTGGCCACACAACAACATTTTAGGAAGCTGAAATGTCAGAGAAGAACATGTCCAAGTAGGCTGAATACTCTTATTTTATTCTAACTCTGTTTACATTTGACCCAACCAGCTGCCTAATACTGTGCTGCTTGTTACAGTCCTCCAAACATCTCCTGGCTCTACCTCCTGCAAACTAAATGTACTGTAATAATCCCAGCTGCATTTTCATACAAGAAAATATGCTGCTGTCTTTTACATCCTTTGGAATTGGGATGACTGAAAAACAAACCAGTTCTAGGCAGAAAGTTTTCTTTTTACAGCATATCAATTTTAATTTTGACATCAGGAACATATTTGTGCATACAACCCCCCCCCGCCCCCCCCCACACACACCCCAAAACGTCTACAGTGGTTTTTTTCTGAATAGAAAAACTAGCTTGAAGTACTCACCATAGCAGAAAATGAAGGAGTTCACCAGTACAGCTATACCCACTAACTTTTCCATTCCTCCCAGCATTGTGGCTACCTCTCTTCTGTGCTCAGCCTAATGAGACAGACCTGCTCTCCCAGGCTTAGCAGGGAAGTCAGCAATACTTCCCCTTCTTCACTCACTATATAATCTTCTAGGATCCAGGGCTGCTGTTGCTGAGATTTTTTCCTTCCTTCTTTCACAAAAAATCATGAGAATGTCTGCACAGTGGTTGAAGGTGCTGGGCTGACCCTACCACAGTAAAGGACAGAGTTAAGAAGAGAGACTCCAGGAGTCTTTCCCTTCCATTTTACATTCCTCTCAGTATGAGGCTATCTTCCCAGCTTACCATTAACTTGATTTTCAAGATAACTGCATCCTTTGTTTCTTTATAACTGGGTATTTCTGTTCTGCCTTCTACCCTTTCATGTTTTGCAATTTTTTTCTGAAAGGCCATCTCTAAGGCAATTTTTATGCTCACAGATATTAGAAGAACATTATCAAGAGTGCAAAGTCAAGCAATGAAAAGTTAGAAAAATCTAGAAATCAGATTCCACAGGGAAACTTAATGCCACGCTCTTGGGATGCATCACGACATTTGTCAATTAGACAGTCACAGTGAGGTTCTCGGTCCCAGACTCCTTCCCCCAGCTACTCATCCAAACTCAGTCTCACCTCTGAATGCTCATCCAGCCCCAGTGCTCCTCCCTGCACCCTACCTCCTGCTCAGATCCACCTCTCCTGTCCCTGTTCCCCGATGTTGGTTTAAAGACCCAGTCTCCTTGTTCAGCCAATTCCACTATGTTCAGCTAATTCCCTTAGCTGCTCACCCAATCTTAACGCCCTGAACAGCAAAATGATTCTGAGTCATCCTCCACACTTCCCTCACAGGCCCCCAGTCCTAGTCTCCTGGGCTTTCAGTCCCAGTTTCCTTGCCACTAACATGTGTACTTGTATGCCCACATGTCCCAGCTTTCCCTCCTCCAATGCTCTTAGTATCAACCTTCTTGTCGAGCCATTCTCAGTCCTCTGCAGGGACCTGTCTCACCAGACAGTACCTGTCAGTACCAGACAGTACCTGTCTCACCTCTGCAGTACCTGTCTCACCAGATTCCTTGTCCTCTTCCCCATAGAGGTCCTGGTTTTCCTCCTCTGAATCAGGCACCTGCCTTTTCCACACTGCCTCAGATGCAGCAGGGACATCAAACCGGACAGGCTCCCTGCACTCAGTGCCAGTGCCCGGGCCCACTTTGATCCAGAACAGCTGGGAGCAACAAGTACAAGAAAAGTCAGGTTTCACTGCAGGAGCCTGGTGTTGCCAGCCTCACACTTAAGTCACCCCATTGGGCTGGTGCACATGCATTATGAGTGCTTGTGGGAACTGTCAGAGGCTCAGACATGCTCAATGAGGATAGATCTTCAGAGACTTTGGCTGCTAAAATCAGTCTTCTCTGCTGTGTATGTTTGAGCTACAGTTTATCTTAACTGGTTTATAGCATAGCCAGATTTGGGTGGATTTTTACAGGGAACAGAAAAAGGCACATTCTTCACACAAGTAGAAGTATGCTCAAAAGTATGGAGTCCCAAGAGCTTTTCGAACAAAACATTGCCATCACTTTTTTAAGATGAGCTAATCAATGTATTTTCCTTATCCTTGTTCTCAGACAAAACTAAACCATTGTGGCTGAAATATTCATCCCAAGGCAGATACCCAGCCTACAAACAGATCACATAATTTCATACAGTTAATTTTGTCAAACCTAGAAGCAACTGAAAACAGCATCTTGTAATGGGAAATATCTGTCCATTTTTAACAGTAGGAAATGCTACCAATTCCACCATTAAGATGAATGGTAGTTCAGGTACAGTGGTTTATGAATGGAGAACATTTACCTTATTGCAATGACTTGCGATGCTCTCCTGTTGCTAGAACAGATAGAGACAGTAAGGTAAATGCATTATTTTGATTTTAAAATCACTGGAGGTATTTCTAAACATTTCTATTTGGAATAACACTAGCAAAATGTTTGTGCTGAAGACTGAAAACTGAAACTGTGCCATTTTAAAATGAAAGTGGAATTTCTATTAAAGGGAAACTTCCATACATGACAGTCAGTTTTCGTGACTTAGTTTTGAAAATGTCATTTAAACACTAAAAATCTGAGCCTTGCAAATGTTTCCAATAAAATAAATTGATCTCAGTTTGCTGAAAACCCAAGAGCATTTGACAAAATGAAAACAAAATAATCCTCTGGAAAAAAAAATCCTAACCGTCTCTAATATATCATGAAGAATTCATTACAATCTTTTTTTGCCAAGATTATAGAATACACATACTATGCATAGATGTAAGAAGGGTAAATATGCTTCCATTATCAAATACTCAACACTACATCGCATTATGGGTTTTAAGTTCTTGCATCACATGTTGCAGTGTCTCCTTTTAACTAACATGGGACCTTGTTCTGACTCTGGACTGTGCTGCGTGAGCAGAACCAAATGGGATCCAGAATGGGTGGGACGACAGGGTGGAAATGACTGACTGTGAATCATGGTCTGAAAAAAGATGAAACTACTAATGAAAAGGAAATCCAAATTACGTCCTTAGCTTGCTGTAGTGGTGCTTGCTCACGCTTGGGTGTATTCCCTGAGCACCAGTACATCATGCTTTAAGCTCCACGGAACATTCTCTCTGTTATTGTGTAAGATAGGAGTATTGTGTGATGCAGATGACTAAGCACCTCAAAAGAAGCTCCTATAGATGGCTGAATGCATGGTCGTGAACAGTCTATTGAGCTGTGGATTCTACATGTGATTAGCCCTTTACTAGAACATCTTTTAATGAGTTATTAAAGCTGTATAAACCATAGGTATATTCTTCATATACTGTAGAGTAGTACCATTCTATGCCATATATTAAAATGGATCCAAGAAGCAGGGTCACCACTTCTATGCCTATGCTCAATCCTCACATAGGCACAGAAGGCTCAGTCTGCCTGAAGTCCTGACCTGCATGTAAATAGAGAGAGCAAAGGATCATAGTCCCTTGTTTATTCAGCTCTTGCATTCCTTATGCACTTTCTCACCAACTTCAGCATAGGAATTTGGGGTCCACAAGTAAGTCCAAGTAATATCCTACTGGACAAGACTAAAACTTACTAGGATGCAGGGAGACCTTCTCTGTTGCAGCCAGGGAAATTAAACAGATTTATTTACCATAAGTAGCCCCTGCCATTAATTGTGCCTGCTTGGCTTCATTAGGAAGTGGACTTCCATAAATGGAGCTCAGGTTGGTCACTAGAAGTGTTGTGAACTATCCCCAGTACACTGTACCAGATTAGCAAGGGAAGTTGTGAGCTAATGGTCATATTCATTCTTTGAAAATCAGATTCTGAATGAGAGCAGTTGAGGCCATCTCTCTCATTTTATTTATCCTTTGCATGGTGGGAACCCTCACATTTAGATGACGGTGTATGGTTTAAGTTAGTGCTACATGGATTTCATTTTTAAACTTGCCTGTTCCTTATGGGCAGCAAGGCCTAAATAAAGGAACTGGTTATAGTGTGGCCTGCCCTGTGCAACAGTGACACTATGAAGTTCCAAGATTGAGAACTCTGGAGCATGAAATCTTCTATCTATTTACAGAAAAGTAAGGTCGTGGGCAGCAACATTGTAATATTATCTCACAGTATAGCCATGCCAACATGGCAAAACTTGATTTAGCAGGGCAACTGTATGCCTCATTTTCTTCTTGACTTCTACTGCCAATATCAGGCCCATTTTGTATGACAAGAACTGAAGTAGTATTTATCACCACTTGGACAACTACCTACTACAAACTGGGCTACAGGTACACTAATCTGCTGCTGTATGCTACTAAGTAGCCAATGGATAGCTCTAAGTGGGGTGTGTCTACTTGAGATGCTATACTGTGCATTAGACTAATCAAGGAACTGTGCTAATAAGCTACTGAGCAGTTAGCTAGTACCTGTAAATATAGGTATTAAACTAACTGTGCAGTAGATACAGGATTGGGGAGCTGGGCAGCACCAGGACTGGGGAGCTACCGTGGGGCAGCTAACAATGAACCCCTGACTGGGCTAGGAATCCCCATTCAGCCGGGGGCAGCCGGGAGCTCTTCCACCGGTGGAACAGCTTCCGGCCACCCCTGGCTCAGTGGGGATTCCCTGCCCAGCTGAGGGCTTGCTGCTAGTTGCCTCAAATCAGGGCAGGGGGCTGGGGTCTTTCCCAGCCCCAATGCCCAGATCACCTGACTGGGGCAGGGGGCCGGGGAAGAGGTCCCCCCCCCCCACGGTTT